TTTGTCACATGCGACTCATTAAAACTTTTGGTGTATCAAAACATTTTCATCTCTATTATTTTGTTAAATTTAATGTTGACTCTCGACGTTCTACATATCAACACTTTAAAGTTTACGTTCCATACTACTTGTAAAAATCGTCAAAAACTTACGATTAGGCTGGACATTATTCTTAGAATTAACCGGTTATTTAGGTCTTGAGGATGAGTTGATTCTAAGAGTTTTGAAAATATATAGTTTTGAGAATATAATATCTTTCCTACAATCGTGACACGGTTTTTATTATTTTTATTGCTCTTGTAGGCATACGAGCACGAGGCCCATGTGATGGTGAGTATTTGCCGTCGTCCCATGGTCGTCAGCAATGCCATGTTTTAAAATATGATGAAAGTGTTTTTTATGCGTGTAAAATATAATCATCTATTCTTGAGTAATAATTTGAAATTCACACTACCCAATCATGATTTGCCAATTAGTTTCGTGAGTTAATTACATCTCTCGATAAATTAATTAAAGTTCAGTGTTAACGTTAATGAAGAAATTAATTCCATTTACGTAAACAAACTTTTCCTCAGAATACTTTTGTTTTTTTTTTGTATCGGCCAGCCGGTCAAGTTTCTCACAATCAATTTAATATTTTTTCAATATTCAACGACTTAGGAGCTTATCGATTTTCGATAGGCCATTAATGAGTGTGAAATCAATAGACCAATTTAGGTCAGTGGATTTTTTGTTTCTCATGCATTATCGATTTTTTACCTTTTTTCTCAATAGTGACTGTAAATATTTTTAGTATTGTATTAAAGTTTAATTTTATTTCGTCTAATAAAACTTCATCTTAAGAAAGAAAACAAAAACTTAAGGTATTTATCAGAAGCACGAATATATTTTTAGTTTAATAACTCTTAATCTATATATATAAATGATTTGCTGTTCGTTAGTCTCGCTAAAGCTCGAGAACGGCTGGACCGATTTGGTCGAAGGTTTAAAAAGTAGATAATTATGAAAATGCTCGGAATTATAAAAAAATAACAATTTTATTTCCCTTTGATGTGTCCCCCGCCGGACGGTTTCCTTTTGTTTGTTTTAAGTTTATTTTATACAAATGTTTAGGTCTTTTATTTATTGATTGAAGCAATACGAAGTCTGTCGGGTCAGCTAGTACTTAATAAATAAAAGGTTGGGGAAAAAGTTCCTTCGCATTTTTTAAGAAAATTCACAACATTTTTTAATATACTTTATTTAGATTTAACTAAAGTATGTAGGTACCATTTTGTTCGATAACTTTTTGCCATCTTGTACGTAGGGGCAAGATCCCATTGCTATAGAAATTTTGTGGCTTCTGATCAAAATACCGCGACAGTTGGTTTTGTCAGTCCTCTCGTGATGTTAACCTGACAATGCCTAAAGAATTCTGAAGAGACTGAAACAGGTGGAAATCTGAAGGTACAAGATCAGGACTATACGGCGGATGCATTAACACCTCACTGCCAAGCTCACTTAATTTTTGCTGAGTGGCTAAAGATGTGTGAGGTCTAGCGTTATCATGATGAAGAACCACACCCCTTCTGTTGATTAATTCCGGCCGCTTTCTCTCAACTTCTTGCTTTAATCTCATCAGTTGTTCGCAGTAGAGTTCAGAATCGATGGTCCTGCCTGGTGGTAACAGCTCACAATGAATAATGCCCTTCCAATCCCACCACACAAGCGGCATTACTTTGTTGTGAGTTAATCCGGGTTTTGCCACAGTCTGTGAAGCCTGACCGGCTTTTGACCACGACCTTTTTCGCACGTTCTTGTCGTTCGTGATCCATCTTGCATCACCAGTTGTTAGCTTCTTCAAAAATGGTTCGGTTTTATTACGTCGTAATAAAGAATCACAAATGAGTACACGGTTCATTAGGTTTATTTCAGTGAGCTCGTGAGGTACCCAAATATCGAGCTTTTTTTTGTGTACCCAGTATTTTTCAAATGCGCCAAAACTGTTTTCTGGTCAATTCCCAGTTCTTCAGCTACGTCGCAACTACTTATATGCCGATCTTGCTCCACTGTTTCTAAAATGGCATCAATTTTATCCGTAATAGGACGACCAGAGTGATGTGCATCGTTGACATCAAAATTTCCGGATTGAAAAGGCTTAAACCAAATTTGTGCTACTCTCACAGACACTGCACTAGGTCCATAAATATCGCAAATTTTCTTCGCAGCTTGCATTGTATTTTTACCTTTTTTGTAGAAAATTATTAAAATGTATCGAATTTCTTCATTAGATTCAATCATCTTGACATACGAAAAATAAATAAAAATTACACATTTTCCTAATTTGAATTTGGAATTATCTTCTTTAAAATTTAAACTTTTAATGATACCAAAACCAGCCAGATACAAATAGTATAGCCAAAGAGATTTTATTACAAGTTCATACATACTATAATGCGAAAAGACTTTTTCCCCAGCCTATTATGTATGTACATATACAATTATGCACCCGAACGGGCCCGTTTACTCAAAGTGATTACTTAAGAAAATTCAATTTATGTGAAAAATAAAAGGATATTTTTGAAGTAAAACTTCTTTAGGCACGACTTATGAATAATGAAAAAAATATGTTGGCCACACGAATCATTGCCCGATCTGGGAGTACAAAACCACGACCTTTTTGACCCAGCAGTCAGGGCCGCTGGTTACTGCGCCAATGAATCAGTTAGATGTTTGGTATAATACCCCTGTACCATAATAATAATAAAAAATTGCGTATTCTATTCAATTAAAGAGGTACCGATGAATATACGGTTAAGCTAGATAAGTGATAACTAAAAACTGCGCCAATCAGAAGGGTCCAGAGGAAAACTGAAAACAACGTGGGGTATGTTTGTTAGAGATATGAGCAAACACAATATTCCTGAAGACGCACACCATAATAAGCACGCCGCGCTAACCACATTATAAGAAACACTACTCCAAACGGTAGAGATCGTGACAGAACGAGAAAGAGAACGAGAATTGTGAGTGTTTTGAAGCGTACTAATAATAACTTACCAGCTTTGTCCAGAAGAAAAAACAGAAACACTCTTGTAATACGTACAACGCTTGTGAAATGACTATGCTTTTAAAGGAAAATTAAACCATTGCGTTTGCGGAACGATTACGATGTAATAATGTAATAACCCAACTAATCCTACTTTTCCGGTTTACGACCTCGTCGTCCCTGGACTCATTTCTAGTGGCCAAGGATTTGATGGGTTCCGTTGAATGAAACTTCTCATGTTACATACTTCGACTTTTATAGTCGTATAATGGAATGGAAGTCCCTCACATTTCACTACACCCTCAGTGATACCGTGTGCTTGAAGTAAGCATTTACATTCAGCCGAAATTCCGTGCCGTAAATCTTTCAACTGTGTTGATTTCGAACGTAGTCTTTCATGCATATGTATTAGAAAGCAATCGGATTGTTGTCGATTCAATTTTCCTTGTAATTACTCACGTATCTCCTTCATTTTCTATCCGATTTAATTTCAATTCTAATTTTCGATATGGAAAATATATCTTATTTTTCGGAAAACAAATAAAAACCTTTTTTGACTAATAAAAATGTACTTGTTATAATATTATTATACTACATAATATGTAAGTGAGTATGAGTTATAGGAGATTTTCAATAAGTTTTATAACTCAATGTACTTTGTCTATGATGATTAGATTTTTAATAAATTAACTGAGCATTAAAGCAGTTTTTATGCGAATAAGTAAGGCTGGTTTAGATATAAATGTAATGCATAAATGTTTACTTTTTAAAGTGCAATTCGAAGTATTTCTATTAAATTATAAACATAAAGATACTAACTTTGGTAATTTGAACTTTGTTATTGTAAACCCAAATGACAACTTTTCTGAATAAACTGTGACAAAATCAAAATTAAAGATATTTAATAAGATAACATATTATTACATTCAAGTTTGAAAGTAATTTTATTAGATAACTTTCACGCTCGAAGTCTAAACAAACAAACTGACAGATGTTTCTTAATAAATATACATTTTCACGAAACACGAGTAAACCGATACCTGTTAAAATTTCCGTACAAGTCTCATGAAGAGGTAGCACACATTAAAAATAATTCCCGAAGTTTCCTCGTCAGATTCGCGTAGCGTGAAATATCAGTGAGATTTATATTGGGCGGTCTCGTTTTTAGATTATAATCGTATTGCGCGATATTAACAATTTGGATATACGTACGTTGATTTTTGTATTCGTTTACATTTTCACAAAATTGATTTTTATGTGTGCATAAAAGCATTTCTACGGAACTTCTATGTAAGAGTAGCCGGTTGGCGGTGTATCGCGTTTCGACCTGGCAGGCTGGTACTAGCCCACCGGGGTGGATGAGCCCTTGCTCGCTCACATATCCTTGTGAAACTGGAAAGGCCTCCGGGCCACTAGTAAGCCCTATCATAGAAAAAATAAAGTCCACCGGGGTATTCCGGGATATCAGCGGAACAGCTTGACGACCTGCCGTACTTAGATGGCCGACATAGAGTCATCGACTATTGCCGCGATTACCCGTGGGCCAGGCGTCCTACTGGGTGGCGCCGCGAGTCTGATTGTAGTGTTGACCGCGGGAAGCTCCCTGCTCTGTCTGGGCTCTAACCCCGATCGGAAATCAGGCCTCGGGTGAGAGATTGCAAGGGGAGTTGTTTGATGGCTAGGGCCTCAAAATATCCTTGGGTCGTGGTCTGCTCCTAACATCTGCAGACCGACAAGTCCCACATACCCCGGGAGTCCCCTAGGCGTGGACACCTCGCATGAGGTTTGGCCGCCTACCCGAAAAAAATGCCAACTTGTAGATTTCCTGAAAATTTCATAGAAATCGGTCGACTTCATATGGAAACATTTTTTTCAAATACCAATTATGTTCGTGTACTGAATGAGGTACCTGAATGATTCACCTTTTTACCCAACTATCATATAAGGATGCAAGGATAAAATCACTACTTACCTTTCCGTCACTCTTGCGATAAGCATCGTGCACATGCCACAACATGCACATCCCCACCGTAGTCACCTCCCTCCCAATCTCGTAGTGGTTCATTATGGGATTACTTTCCATTGGCGGGGGACTTTCAGACCCGGTCAGCCTGGAGACTATTCCAGACATCCCGCTTCCTATGCTTTGCTTTACAAAGCCAGCCAATTTCGCAGCCGGATCCAGGGCACTGGCCCCACGTCCTGTTAAAAATAAGAAAATGTTAGATTACAATGGTACCCCACTAAATATATACCTGTCTATAGTAAAAATCGATTCACCGGATATTAGATATAGTTAATAAAATTAATTGTTCTTTGTTGAAATCTTATATTATTATTATTATTATTATTATTCTATTTTCAAATTGGAAATGTATTGAACATCAATAGCTCACTAATTCACACAATAACTATATATATCATAACCTTAACGATTCAACGTGATAACATTTTTAATATCATCTTTTATCTAAACTATTTAGAGTTATGGTATGTATGTAGGTACATACCCGTAGATAGAATGTGATACAAATTAAAAAATAAACTCATTCACTCTCTCATTATTAGATCATTTTTCCTATCATTTGATGACCGTTATTTTTATTTTGCTGTAGTAGCTGATATCAAATAGGTAAAAAATGTCAAAGATTAAAATTTTAGCAACATTTAAATTCGATATTTGCCTGAGCCACTTGATACGAGTACATTTGATACAAAAGCACATTTGATATGAGTACATTGATGAATTTTGGCCATTAATTTAGTTTCCATTTTGTCAAGCTATGAACGTGTCATTAATAAAATTAACACGCTCCAGAATTGTGGTGCATTTTAATTTTCGCTTGAAAATTACCTTGTTCTATAAAACATGACGCACTTTTATTATGTTCAAAATATACTAATATGTTAATGTATATTAAACCATTAATGTACGTTGTACAAGTGTTTATAGCTAATATTTTTTTGTTTCTTTATTTTTTCACGTTTACAATGCAAAAAGAATTAGTAAGTAAATTGTAGTTTAGTAGGAGTCACAAATTGAACAATAGTCGTCTAAAATTTTTTCAACAATTCTAATATAACAGTGGTGTAGTAGTAGTATAACTAGAAGATCAATATCCCACTTTTGGGGACGAATATGAAAATGATTTCTCATTCGACTCAATAACTTATCTTGTTTAAGAACGGCTGTCAGGAATAAACTAAAAATAATTAAGTTCTAAATTAAAAGCTTAGAAATTTACGAAAACTCATTTGTAATGGACATCAAAATGTGTAACAAAAAAAACGAGGTACATTACGAGGAAAACGACGACAAAAGCCTCCATATTGGGATACTTCTGAAACATTTTCTTGGGATCCACAAAAGATATTTTACTCTTCTCAATTACTTACAACCAATGCTGTACCAAATGAAATTCGATATTGTTTACTTACAATCTTAAAGGCCGATACGACAGGGCCGCTCAATCAGGAGTGGTTACTTGTTATCGTAAATAGATATTGGTAAAACAGTAACATAGTTAAACCGGATCAAACCTCGAAACATAATTAATTCGATTTAGAACAGAATCTTTAAAATACAATAAATACCACAGAACTTTTACTTTTATTTACACGAAAAGATAAATGAAACTTAATCACTAATATTATATATAATATTATATTATAATTATAGTATATAACATGCTATACATGTTTATGTTAGTTAAAATGTTCGTCGAAAAAAAAAGTAAGATAATCGTGTTATTTATAATTTAACCACAGTCTAAAACACTTCTATGTGATTCCACTTTGTTTTGCCTTAAATATGTTTGTATTTGGTGCTACAGTAAACATTTGAGAATGTAATAAAATAACTGATATTTGTAGGTAATCTCAGAGGATACCTACACATTGAACGACTCTCAAGGTAAATTAATTTCTTTCTTCACATAAAGATTGTAAGCTTAACTACATAAAGGTTCGGTACGATCCCTATTTATTCATTAATCTCTCATTTAGTGAGCATTAAGTTCACAAGGTACGTACTAAGATGTTAAGTATACTTTACATGTTTTATCAAAATAAAATAACTGACGAAGCTTAACATAATAAAATTGAATTTACAAATAAGTAGACATTTAAAGGAATAATGTTCGTACTTGGAATATTATATCGATCCTTGTTGTAGTTTAATATCAGGTGCCTAAAATGATAATTTCAGTGAATAACGTTATTAGCTAGTCTTGATATGCGGAGTTTTTTACTGGTGGTAGGACCTCTTGAGTCCGCGCGGGTAGGTACCGCCGCCCTGCCTATTTCTACCGTGAAGTAGTAATGCGTTTCGGTCTGAAGGGTAGGGCAGCCGTTGTAATTATTATACTGAGATCTTAAAACTTATATCTCAAGGTGGGTGCCGCATTTACGTTGTAGATGTCTATGGGCTCCAGTAACCACTTAACACCAGGTGGGCTGTGAGCTTGTCCATCCAAATAAGAAATAAAAAAAGTAAAAAAAGTTGAGATGGCGAGCACAGAAGATATTTTTTCATAGTACAAGTTGGAAAGGTGGAAAAGATTATGACAAAAAGAAAAATTGTGCAAGAGGAAATCATTGTAAATTATTCTTATTTATTTTTGTAATTTTCGACCTGGTGAATTTTGTACCGAAAAAGCGACCTCATATGTTTGCAGGGGCCTAATATTGAACACTAATAACTGGCATCCTATAGATCACAATCACGTCTTGCGCTTCATAGCTATAAACTATTTGGAATTACAGATTCGAAGTCATTGTTATCACAGAGAAACGTGGGCGTACGTGCTCAGAGCGATCACTGACGGGTACATTGTGGCTCTTAATTGAACCTAAAGGAATTCAGAAATTGTGGCAGATGCTATTATTCTTGCGTCTGGCTCTTCAAATTATTTCCGTTTCACGATTGATTTCTGTATACGTGTTCTAGCTCTATAATGGTATAAGGTTTAGTGTAAATGACAACTGTTTAATGACTACATCCATCGAAACTCATCGCGTTTCTTTCACACTACATATATCCTATAAAAACACACATATATCAAGAGTCGACTAATTTTTACCGAATGTATTTTTTTAATACGCTTTTATTAGCTTCAAACGTATGTATGTTAGTATGTAACGGAATCTTTGAACACGAAATGAAGGGTCAAAACGTCGGATTAACTCGAAATTTGGTATACTTATTAAGGACCGCTGACAATTAAATATTTAAAAAAAAATTGAAAAAATCGAAATTCAAATAAAAAAGGAATTTTCTTTTTTTTTAAACTAACAAACTACGCTTTTATAGAAAATCCAACTAAAAATAATTTTAATAAACTTGAATAAAAAATAGTGTAAGAAAAAATGATTTTATTGCAAAAAAAAGCGTGGGGTGCTCGGCATCAGTAGTTATAAATATTTTATGAACAGATATGAGTAGAAGGGTTAGTTTGCTAATATCTTGAAAAGCACCTCGCGCTTTTTTATGACACTATTTATAATTAAAATTTATTAAAATTTATTTTCTATTTTTTAGTTGGATTTTCTATAAAATCGTATTTTGTTAGTTTTTTTAAACTATTATTTATTTTGTTTTTATTATGAGCTTATTAAAATGTATGAATTAACCAATATAATAATTCAATCCACGGTCTGATACTACAATCTGTTTAAGTGGCCACTGTACTGAACATCAGATGCGGTTATTGGTTTTACAGTCATGTTTGCAGTCAACTCCAAGCCGAACACGCCAATTATGATATAATGTTTTTATTTATTACTAGACGTACCATACAGTCTCGCCCGTATTTATTTTGTAATTCAGAATCCAGAATATAGTAAAGAATTGCGTTAGTTATGTATCTCGCCATATCTTATAACCTATGGCTATGTATCTTGAATCTCGCCTATTAAGATTCGTCGTTGCCAAGTATCATGGGCACGATGGTGGACAGCAAAAGTCTGGTCCAATCTATGCCAGAAGGATACGACGTTGTCCCTTCCAGGCGGGGAAGGCTGCGAGCGTGTGCCTTGCCATATTCTCCTCATAGATGCACTGGTGGCATTTTATCATCAGCTTCCTACCAGGGACTCTCTGCAGACCTCGAAGATGGTACAGACCTACTCACCAAACGACTCCTGTGCTCTCCAGTCAGATACCTTATCTCCGCCCAAGATAGATAGCCGGGTAAATGGGGTATTGCGGTTCAAGACTACTTGCCAGATTTATAGTTCAACCCAAAAAACCTCGGCTTCGTAAAATAATAGGGTCTGAGCTTTCTCGAGTGCTTCCTCGGTCCAAGCGTAGACAGATACCCTTGCGCAGACAAGACTGGCAGACTGGCTAGAGTTTTCCACCAGGGCACGGCCAACGTGTTGGTCTATGTATAAGCCCGGGAGAAAACCGTGAAGGACAGCTAGGTGCCCAGTTGTAGCTAATAATCTACAAAAGAGGGACAAGAACCGACCCAGTAGGATACCGCGCTCGACCGGGAAGCGGCGCACTGCACTGTCGTGTTCAGTGCAGACGAGCGGCCTGTCTTCAGAATAGAACCCGATCAGTCTGCGCAGCGGTATTTGGAAATGCCCACGCGATCGTTGGCAGGGTGTTGAATGTGTTAGTGACTTCGATCAATAATTATTGATCTCGAATTATTAATCTCGATTAACTTCGATCAATAGTGGTCGTGTCGATAGTATAGCGACTCTCTCTGAAGCCTCTCTGGAGGACAACTGCTGAAAATTTTATATCCATATCAGGTCAGGTGCCGGATAAGTTAGACCACGATGGCTCCCAGCCCAAAGGGTGCCCTTCTTCCACAATAGTAGGACTCTGCCCGTTTTCCACTAGATCGGTAAACCGTCCCGACTGAATGCAGACTTCGAAAATCCGCACTAGACAGTCTTCTAGGATACCGAAGGCCAAATCCATTGGGAGAACCACTATACAGCAGAAATAGGCAGGACGCTGAACAACCTATACGGTCTCACGAAATAGCATACCGTGACCAGAACCACTACTACTACAAACTCAAAGCAGAGTAAGGGAGTAAAACTGAAGTATGTTAGGAAACTAACTTGAAGAATCATACCACGAACGGAAAAGTCGCTCAAGTAGGCCAAGATCTAGGTTGATTTCTCGAGGACTAGTTCGACAGAGTTTTATCCTGTAAGATTACCTAGCCTTAAAAAACTTTATA